GTCTCGTCCGACACGAAAGTGATGGCCAGCCCTTTGGTGCCGAAGCGTCCGGCGCGCGCCACGCGATGCAGGTATGTGTCGCTGTCCTCCGGCATGTCGTAGTTGAACACAATGTTCACTCTCTCGATGTCCATACCTCTGCCGAACAGATTGGTGGCCACGAGGATGCGTTTGTGGAAGTCCTTGAACTGCTGGTAACGCGACAGCCTGTGCGCAAACACGACAGTAATGGGTGAGCCATGTAATCCACAAACAAAACACGAGGCATACCTGTCCTCTTGAGTCATAGCTCTGTGTATAGCAATGGCGGGAAAGTTCTGTTCGACCAAAAGCTGAGCCAAAGCCACGCATCTCTGGACGCTCTTCACAAATATGACCACCTGTTCAATAGGGAAACAGACAGTGCGGGCGCAGGTGTTAGTGAAACCAAATCAATTGCAACAATAGGTATAGTCGTGTAAAACCTGATTGAATTCCAAGACATCCAAGAGCTCAAAGAGTTTGCGATTCTTTTCGGTGTCCTTTAGCTTCACGTAATACTGTTGCAGACCATGGAGTGTGAGTTTGGTCTCGTCGTCGACATACACTTCCATCGGCTGTTCAGACATTCGCGCAAATGTCAGGGAAGAGAAGGAGTCGGTGTCAGCAAAAGAGATCAATCGTTAGACAAAACAAAACATATAAAAAATGATTTGTAAAGCGTTTTGGTGTTTACGTGTCCATCGGTTTACGTCTCAAACCCACGGTTCACAGGTCTCACGCCCTCTAATGGACGGCCGAATTGGTTGGCAGGCATTGAGAAGACAACAGATAAGACACACCACACGCGTAGGCATTGAGCAGACCATCACTCTAGTCATTAGCATATCTCCTGTCTCTCAGAGAAGCGGTTCTCTCTCTCGTATTCTTCAGTTCATAGCTTAAGAGGTGTTCATTCATATCAATAATCGGTTCCCTTTCTGTCTGTCTGTTCCCTCTTTCTCTACCAGTGTTTTCATTTGAGAAGCCATTTATTGGGTGCACAGGTATGTGATTGTGACAAACGGGTGGCATATTTAGGCATTTATTAAAACGATTATCGGATAGGAATGGCTATTATATCTTCAATCGCTTCCCATTTCGGCATTCATTAGTATATTTAAAGACGAGTTTCTATTCGTTTCTCTCGGTTTAAGACTTAGAGTTGAGTTTAAAAACTCATTTCTAAATGAATTTGATTCAAGTATTAGAGAAATCTATGGAAATAAGGAGTGACTGGGAGTGGAAAGGCATTCAACCCATGGATGTCTTCATAGAAACAGAACACCGATGTCTTCTTAAAACCCTTTACGATGTCTTCACAAAACACTAACTCAGGTATCGATTCGAAAGCTAACACTTCGTATACAACACTTATTCATTGCGGTCGACAGCACACCGGACACTCAAACCCGACTGAACCACCACTCCATCAGCACATGGAGTCTCTCTCAACACAAACTCAACCATTCATTCACGTCATAGACATTAAGACAAAGCGATCGGCTCTTCGATCGGACGTATGATCGCCGCCAACAGAGAGGCGGCACAACTGGCGGACAGTAGTGTCCAGAGCGGTAGGGAGTGTCGAATCAATGCTTACGTCTTGCATGAACTTCTTGCACACCGGGCGGATGTCCTTCGAGAGGGTGGCGCTAAACATCATCACTTGCTTCTCATGCGGTGTCGCTTTGAATATCTCCTGAACGTCTCGACGCATATCTAACACACAAAACACAATCAGATATTAAATTAGCATTCAATCACTCAGAGAGTCACCAACAGCTGATCCCATACCTAACTGCTCCAGCATTTTGTCGCACTCGTCGAGAATGAAGTGCTTAATGTGTTTGAGGTTGAGCTTCTTGCCCCTGACGAGCGCCAGTATGCGTCCCGGCGTTCCCACCACTATATGGGGCGGTTGTGTCCGCAACACCTTCTCGTCGTTCGTGATATTCATGCCGCCGAAGAAGACGGACACCCGGATGGTCGACATGTACTTCGAGAAACGCTCGTACTCTTTGCTGATCTGAAAGGCCAGCTCTCGGGTGTGGCACATGACCAGCACCGACACCTGTCCCTCCACGGGGTCCAACTGCTGCAGAGTGGCCAACACGAACACAGCCGTCTTTCCCATACCGGACTTCGCCTGACATAAGATATCCATTCCTAGTATGGCCTGAGGTATGCACTCGTGCTGTACTTCACTGCCATCCGGAGGTTAGAGATAATAAGACACGTGTTAAAGGCGTACAAGACATAAGCGTTGCATTTAAGACATAATAACACGTGTTATGAGAGCACAAGACATCGGGAGTTAAGGGATAATAGAAACACGCGTTTAAAGAGCCATTGATAGAAGCAATGGGTTCTTAGAGAGTGAGCCATACCTCGGATGCTCGAAACCGCAGTCAATGATCGCCCGCAACAGCTCCGGTTTGAGTAGGAAATCGCGAAAACCCGAGGAATGTATGGACACATATCCACCCTTCTTGGCCTCGACGGCGACGGCGGTGTTGATGGCGTCGCCCGCAGTCTGGGTCTCGTTGTCATCCTCCTCGTAGTCCAAAAGGTCTTGATCTGTGTCTCCCATCTGCGGCACACATACAACATATCAGTTATGATCAGTTGAGTGATAATCAGTGGTCAATGCGATGGCAATCAGTGATCGTCTCAATGAATGTCACGCGAGAAGACAATCAATGCCTACCTTTGAGTCGTATGTGTTGTCGTTTGGATCTGATTTAGTGACAAAAGCGTCAAGAAGTGAGTGTCAACCGAGCGAATGAGTGGTTATAATGAGTGATCAGTAATAGGACTGAATGTCAGTTACGATAGGATCTGATCGGAAGCGTCGCGAAGACAAAGAGTGTCTGCAATCAAACGAAACGCGTTTTCACCACAAAAATGGCCGATTGATAGCTATGGGGTCTCACGTATAGTACGTTACGCGTGATGGGGGTTAGCGATGACGGTCGGGTTGTAGCACTAGTTTACACGTTTTGGTAGCGATTAATGAGTTTAATGTTTGCAATGATTTATAAATGTTATAACCGTTTGGTTTGAGACCTATTCGTGTGATTAATATGTGTCTGAAATTAATGTTTTTGTTAAAAGCGATAGTAAGGCGTGATTTATTGCCATTGAATGCCGCGATTTGATTGGCTGTGGAGAGTGTCATGCAAAACAGGTGTTGCACTGTATTAGCGGCAGTAGTAATAATGCACCTGTAATTTGGGAGTGCAATACAGTCAATATGTGTGGCATATTTGTGAGACAGCACAATTAATGGCATAAATAAATTAT